ATGTTTACGGCATTGAAGTCTTTGGGGGAGAGAATATTTTCTATTTTAGGGCATTATGTTTCTCGTAAGAGTACGGAATGAGGGTTGCAGAGTGGATTATATTTGGAGTTGGGGGATGTGTGTGGGGGATTGCGTACTAATGAGGGAGTTTTTCTTTTGCTTTTGAAGGAGAGGAGCAAACGGCGGGGGGAGGGGTGCAACGATGAATGAATGGAATTCCAAAATTTCTGTAGATGTTCATTGAAATGAAATATAAAGAAATTAAAAAAAAGAAAAAGAAATAAAACCAGCAAAGCACATATAAAAAAAAAAGTGTATAATTGTGAGGGGAGGGCTCGAGACCCCTAGCACCCTCTCCTTTGCCAATTCTTCCGGTTTCCATTGTCCATTTCCATGTGGTGAGGGGGTCAGTCTTCAGGATTGCTGGGTTCCAGCTAGGTAAGACATCTGGCAGCCAAGTAGGTGGCGTTTTTGGAAAGATTTCACACATACTGCTTACAGAGAACATCTTGCTACTCGGAACATTCTGGAACTTCCTTTTAAGAGTGGGTCTGGTGCAGCCGCACTGAGTTTAACAGGCTCCAAACAGTGTTTGTGTGCCAGCTGCATGCAAATAAGATGACCCACTCACCACAAGAAGCTCATGGAAAGGCAGGCCCAGAGCCTTGGGAGGAGAATTCCTCTTTGTTTCTGACCTGGAGGAGAATTCCTTTTTGTTTCTGACCGTTATTGCAGGCCCAAGGACCCCTTGTTCTTCTCCTCTGGCTTTCTGTAGCCAGGCTGTTGGCAGTAATTGAGGGGACCAGTTATCAGAAACTCAAGTTTCTGGTAAAGTACAGTTAACCCCACCCCACCCGCTTGAGTGGTTTTTAGCAAACAACCCCCACCTGTGGTAAATCCCACCCTGATTGATCAACTGCCATAAAGTGGAATTCTTCTTCTTTTTTAAGGGCACCAGGGATTTTTCCGCATTCCTGTATCTGAAGTAACCGATAAGATTCAAATAGGTTTCCAAACTGTTTCCCTGAGCTATGGCTAGCCAATTGAAGGTGGACAAATACCCCAACTACTGTGGATGGCCAATCATGCATGGCATGTATGGTTGGGCAGGGGGGTAGCAGAGGTATAAAAGGAGGGGCAGACATCCATTCAGGGGCTGGATGCTGCTGTGTTTCAGCTAATTGGCTCGGTGATCTTTTTGGATACTCGCTCCATTACAGTAATCAATTGCACCCTCAGAATGAAGACTGACCGCTTTGTTCACACTACTCAGGGCACTGTCCTGTGCCAGTCCGTGGGGACAGCGCGAATCCTGCTTGCTTCCGTGTCTGCCTCACATTGGTGACTGATGGATGCTGTGCTGGCTGAGCTAACTCGTGCAAGCGCCTCAGCGCAGTTTCCACAGGGGAAACTCCAGGGAGGGCTGAGCTGTGGCAGTTTTGAGGGAGCCGGTGGTTACTTGGATGTCAGTGATCAGAGGTGTTTGGGAGTGTCTGTCTGTTTCGCACGTCCCTCTTGTAGTTCCCGTGTGCAGTTTAGAGAGAATCTTGACTTTCCTGAAACACAGCATGGCTTAGTTCTGGGGTGTGTGAGGGAAGGTGCGAATCTGGACAGGCCAGGGCTGGTTCACAGCTTCCTGCCATACCAGGAGCCTGGGAGAGAGGTCTCCTAAGGCCTATTTTGTCTTGCCTTTTTTCCACCCTGAGGCCAGGGGAAGGGGAGGGGTGTGTGCTGTGTGTGTTTCTTTTTTCTAGTTAAGAAATAATTTGTTGCTATGTGCCATCAAGTCAGCTACAACTCATACCGACCCTATAGCTCTGAACCGTACCCTATCCTGAGCTAATCTCACTCTCTCCTACAGCCTTACTCCCATCACCCCAGTTACTGTCAATCTGTCTCATCCAGTGTCTTCCTATCCGATGTTATCTGTCCCTCCACACTTCCAAGCATGATGACTTCTCCAAGGACTAGTCCCTCCTGGAAACATAACCCAAAGTGTGTGAGACACAGCCTCAAAATTCTTGCCACCAACGAGCAACTTGATTTTACCCTCTCCAAGACAGACCTGTTTGTTTTCTTGGTAGTCCATGTTATGTTCAGTACTCTTCTCCAGAACAACTCAATTGCGCTTTTTTTAAATTTTATTATTTTTGTGTGGTGTGAGTGTACCGTCAAATCAGATCTGACTGGTACGGGAGAAAATTGTCCCTCCTTCCCCGGCAGAGCATCTGGTGGATTCGAACCGTGCACCTCTGGGATTGTAGTTGCAGCTCCTTATCACTAGGCCACCAGAGCTCTCCAACTCAATTGCTTTGATTCTTCTTCTGTCATCCTTATTTGTCCAGCTCTCTGATGCACAGCAAGAAACTTGAAGACCATGGCCTGGATCAGGTGCACCTTACTGTTTGTTTTTTTTTTTTTTACTTTTTTCCTTTTTATTTAAAAAATTATAAAATTTTGCTCATAGTAAAAAAAATCAAACAGTAGACAAGAGCGTATATAGAAAAGTCATCTCCCCAGTCTCATTCCCAGAAGTTTGTGTATCATTCTCAAAGTGTTCTGTGTATTTAGAAACATATTTTTCATTTGAAAACCACAAGATTTCACTATGTAGCTTGTTAGTGTGTTTTAGAAAACAACCGTATATTATGGGTTGTCATTCCACATTTTTACATTCAAAGCTATTTCATTCCTTTTAAAGAGATGAACTGATTTACCCAATTCCCTTTGAATGGATGTTTTGATCAATCCCAGTATTTTACGCATAACACCTTTAAAAACAGGCACAATGAATGGGAGTGAGTCCTAGGAAATACGTTCTCCTAAGAGGTTACATTTTTTATTGACTAGAAACAAATGATTGGAAGAGCTTGGAAACCCCTGAAACCCTTGGGAGCAGTTCTCCTCTGCATACATTTAGGACCACCCTCTTGGTTGCAAATCACTGCTAATGTTAGAAGGACAATTGATTAATGTTTTAAAAGTCACTGTCACTTCACACAGAGGAAATAACTAAAATATCTTACTCTAGATAAAAATGAGAGAAATAAATGTTTCAGTAGAAGCACTAATATTCATTTGGTATCAATAAAATGATCCAAGATAAACCTGGAGACTATGGGAAATTAATAGTGTTAATGATGAAACATGATATTTACTGTTTAAATTCAACAGCTCAAAGACTGAGTTTGCTTTATAATGAAGATAGAAAATAAATTTATAATGTCTGTGACTTCTAGACTGCATTAACTCTTTGGAAACATGGTCAATCAGAATTACGTAATTATTACAACTTTTTCCTTCACATCCACGTCAGGGTGATGAACTAGAGCTCTCATTTTCTGAGCACATTCTTGTCCGTATAATAGGGAATACAACGAACCTTTATGAAAGTTGAAAGCAGACTTAACTAAATGACCATCCATTTTAATGCAGTCATTTAAGTTTTGAAACAGTGTGAGTACTCGCAGAAGAATCTCCTTTGCCACGTGGCCATCATAAAGGGAAAGGAATGATGAATCCACTTGAGCACTGAACAGTCTTTCTGCCATGACTGGGTTTTCTGACAAATTCAAAAGCATTTTCAATACTTCAACCTTGGTGCTGCCATTTCCAGCAAGTAACATTTGAAAGAAGTCTGTAGTGTAACCATTAAGCATATGCTGGTGGTCATTGGTCACGGTCATGTTTGTTAACAATCTCAGCCCATAGGGGAGCTTTGGTGGCCTAGTGGCAAGGACCTGCAACTACAATCCCAGAGGCGCACGGTTCGAATCCACCAGATGCTCTGCCGGGGAAGGAGGGGCAGTCTCCTCCTGTACCAGTCAGATCTGATTTGACGGTACACGTACAAAAAAACAAAACAAAAAAAAAATCTCAGTCCAGCCATCTGCACAGCAGAGTTCGGGGGGCCTGAGAAGATGACATCCTCACAAACTTGATTGACGTAGACCTTTATTATTTCCTGATTTTCAACATTCACAGTCAAGTTATTTAGTGTATTTAACGCTTTCTCTTTAATACTGTAGTTGTGACTGTTGATCACGTTCCCGACAATTGGAATACCACCCAATTCACGAATTACGATATGGTTAGCTGAAAAGGCTGCATTGTTGCCCAGAGTGACCAGAGCTCTTTCAATAATTGCAGGATCCTCAGTTGAATCAAGCAAGTAAAGGAGTTTCTGAAGTTGCTCAGCACTGAGGCTTTCGTCATACAAGCCATTTGTTAAGTCCTCTGCCGACCGCGAGGGGCGCCGCCGGGCCCGCGCCAGCAGGTAAAGGCAGTAGCAGGCGCCGGCCCCGAGGACCAGGCCCGCCGTCACCCAGCCCACGTCTCGGGCACCGCCCATGCTGCCGCCGGGGCGCAGGGCCGAGCGGGGCGCGGGGGGCTCGCGGGGGTGTGTGGCGCCGAGGGTCTTGAGGGCTCGTGGGCGCCGCCGCCCCCGAGCACCGCCAAGCCCGAGCAGAAAGGACGCACCTTACTCTTTAGACTGATATCACAGCTCTTCAGCACTCTGGAGATATCCCTGACTGCAGATTTTTCTAATACAATTCATCTTTTGATTTTCTGACTGCTTATAAATTACATAATTTCTAAGTGAAACATCTTTTTTTTAATTCATTTAAATGAAAGTTTACAGAGAGAGTTTCCATTCATTCATTGTTGCACTTTTCTCCCTGCCCACCCTCTCCCCCCCAATTCACTCTTCTCCTTGAAAAGTAAAATTCTTTCATTGTTATACAGTCCTTCCCCCAAAGTCCACTCCACTGTGTAGTCTTCTTTCTGGACTCGTGTCATGACAATAATACCCAATCATATACTCATTGACTTCACATGCAAGCAAGATTCTACTGAAGATTATCCAAAAACAACTGGAACAGTACATCAGCAGAGAACTTCCAGAAGTCCAGGCTGGGTTTAGAAGGGGTTGTGGTACTAGGGATATTGTAGCTGATGTTAGATGGATCTTAGCTGAAAGCAGAGAATACCAGAAGAATGTCTATTTGTGTTTCATTGATTATGCAAAGGCATTTGACTGCGTGGACCATAACAAACTGTGGTTGACTCTGAGAAGAATGGGAATCCCAGAACATTTAATCGTGCTAATGCGAAACCTATACGTGGACCAAGAGGCAGTCGTCAGAACAGAGCAGGGCAACACTGCCTGGTTCAAAATTGGGAAAGGTGTACACCAGGGATGTGTGCTATCTCCATACCTTTTCAACCTGTATGCAGAGCAGATTATCCAAGAGGCTGGGCTCCATGAGGAGATGCGTGGCTTTAGGATTGGTGGAAGATCTATTAACAATCTGCGTTATGCAGATGACACAATCCTGCTCGCTGAAACTGAGGAGAACCTCATGCACTTACTGCAGAGGGTCAAGGACTGCAGCCTTCAGTATGGACTGAGGCTCAATGTCAAGAAGACAGAGATTCTCACCACTGGACCAATTGGTAGCATCAGGATGGATGGTGAAGAGATTGAGATTGTTCACAGCTTCAGCTTGCTTGGCTCCAGGGTCAACACTCTTGGCACCAGCAGTCAGGAAACCAAAAAACATATTGTGATGGGAAAGTCTGCTGTTAGGGACCTCACCAGGGTACTCAAGAGCAACGGTGTCTCTCTGGAGACTAAGGTGCGCCTGATACAGGCCATGGTTTTTGCAATCACTTGTGCATCAGAGAGTTGGACAATGACTAGGGAGGATAGAAGGAGAATTGACACCTTTGAGCTGTGGTGCTGGAGAAGAGTATTGAATGTACCATGGACTGCCAAGAAAACAAACAGATTCATCCTAGAGAGGGTTAAACCAGGCCACTCCTTGGAAGCAAGGATTCTGGGGCTTCGTCTGACATATTTTGGACATGTTGTAAGGAGAGACAGGTCTTTGGAGAGGGACATCATGCTGGGTAGAGTAGAGGGACAGCGCAGGAGGGGAAGACCCTCTATGAGGTGGATTGATTCAGTGACTGGGGTAATCGGGATGGGTGTGTCAGAGGCAATGCGATTGGCACAGGATAGAGCAGGGTTTAGGGCTGTTGTACATAGGGTCGCTATGAGTCACAAACAACTCGACGGCACATAACAACAACAACAACATATCCCTTTTAAACAGTTCTCTCCCTCATCTGTTGCAATGCAGTATACATCATTCCTCCCCTCCTTCTCTATCTTCCCTCAACCCCAATGTCAGTTCCATTTTACAACAGTGGCCCTATGCATTATTTGTCCTTCTGTGACTGAAATATTTCACTCAGCATAATGTCCTCCAGAGTCACCCATTTTGTATAATATTTCATGAGTTTCTTGGTTTTCAGTGCTGCATAGTATTCCATTTTGTGACTATACCACAGCTTCTCTATCAATTCGTTGGGTTGTTTTCAGCTCTTTGCTATTGCAAACAAAGCCTCAATAAACATGGGTGTGCATATATCTGCTTGAGTGGCGGTTATGGTCTCTTTAGGGTAAATTCCCAGTAGTGGAATTGCTGGATCAAATGGTATTTCTATTTGCAACTTTTTGAGAAAGCGTCATACTGCCTTCTGTAGTTGTTGCACCATTTTACAGTCCCACCAACAGTGAATAAGGGTTCTAGTTTCTCCGCAACCTCGCCAGCATTTGATGTTTGCTGTTCTGTTAAATTTTGCTATTCTTACTGGGGTGAGATGATATCTCATAGGAAACATCTTTTAATATACTGTTGTGAATACATATAGACCCATTACCACCAATACACTCAAGGCATTCTAGAATGTTTACATCCTTTCCAAAATCCCCCAAGCCCCAGTGGAGTCAACCCCAGGCTTGGCACTCCCTGATCTGGTTCTGTGACATCAGAGTATCTGACTTCTTTCAAGAGAGTCTTCCACACAGTCTCTTCTGTCAGCACAGTATCTCTCTGCTTTATGGCTGAGCAGTCTGTATCGTATGGACAAATCTGACACAACCTTGCTTGCTTAAACTGATGAGGGCCTGAAGCATTTGCTGCAGAGGGTCAAGGACTGTAGTCTTCAATATGAATTGAAGCTGAATTCACCCCTGGGCCAAGTGGCAGCACCATGATGGATGGAGAAGAGATTGCGATTGTTAACAATTTCAGGTTACCAGGTTCCACAATCAACACCCTCGGCAGCAGGAGTCAGGATATCAGGAGATGTTTTTCACTAGGCAAGTCTGAAGTTAGGGACCTCTCCAAATTATTGAGGAGTAATGATGTCAGTTTGAGGACTAACATGCATCTGATTCAGGCTGTGATCTTTCTGATCACTTGTTATGCATCTGAGATCTGGGCAATGAATAAGGATGACGGAAGAAGAATTTGATGCATTTGATCTTTGGCATTGAAGAAGAATGCTGCACATCCCATGGACGGCCAAAAGACTGAACAACTATGGCTTCGAGAGAGTGCAGTCAGGGTGCTCTTGGGAGGCAACGATGAGGAGGCTTCACCTCACATGCTTCCTGCATATTGCTAAAAGGTGCTCTTCTTGGAGAGGGACATGCTTGGAAAGGTAGAGGAATGATGGCACAACTCTACAAGGTGGAGTGTCAAAGTCACTGCCACAATGGGCTCTAAAGTGTCAAGAAGTATGAGGCTGGCACAGGACAGGACAGGGTTCATATCTGTGGTTCATCTGGTCGCTATGGATCGTACTAGATTTGATGGGACCTAACAAATAACAACAGATGGACTCCCAAGAGAACTAACAGATACGTCCTGGAGAGAGAGAAACCAAAGCTGCTTCCTGGAGTCATGGATTTTGAGGCTGTGCCTCACATACTTCGGGCATGGAGAAGGGAGATCATACTTGGAAGAGTGGAGGGATGAAGATGGATTGACACAGTAACTGAAGCAATGACAGTAGATGTGTCAGAGTCAATGAGGCGGGCTCAGTACAGAGCAGGGTTCAGAGCTATTGTGCATAGGGTCGCTATGAGTTGATTCAATGACACTTAACAACAACAAATGGAGGCATTCCAACTTGTATGTAGTGATTACACATGAGCACTCATGCACAAGGTGTTTTGTTGGTTTTTAATTTTTTTATTATTTAGTAAACATTTACAGAGACTTTGGATTTCCATTCATTCATTGTTGCATTTTTCTCCCTGTCACCCCTCCCCCAAGTCTGCTCTTCTCTTTGAAAAGTAAAAGAAAAATTATTTCATTGTTATACAGTCCCCACCAACCCGAGTCCACTCCACTGTGCAGCCTTCATTCTGGACTTTTGTCATGACAATAATACCTAATCACATTTTTCTTTTTTTAAAATTATATTTCTTTAAAATTTTATTTTGGCGAGCTCTGGTGGCCTAGTGGCAAGAAGGAGTACTGCAATCCCAGAGGTTCACGGTTCAAATCCACCAGATGCTCTGCTGGAGAAGGAGGA